TTAAATACATTATATTTATTTATTATGCATTTTATATTAAAATAAAAATATTAAATAGATATATTTTTCAAATATAAAATAAATTCTATAAATTTTTTCATCTTATCAAAAAGAAGAAATAGTTTGAAAATAAATATATAAATTTCTATCAAATAATGATTATTATTTAATATCATATATTTCTCCTTTTTATCAATCATACGATTGGGTATTACTTTCTTGATTCGTCACTTCTTATCTTATTTCATATTATGGCATGTATATTTCTGAAATGTCCCTTAATTCCTATGATCCTCCTCCATTAAACAAAATTCCAGTGGTTTGTGAATGACATGAACATAACATAACAAGAAAAAAAAATAGTGTAAAAATTCCTATAAATGTTGCCAAAACCATGCCAATAAAATATTGCACCAATTATAGAGAAGGAATCCAGAGAATTGTTAAAATAAAACATCTAATTGCAGCCCATTTAAAAGACTTCCAACAAATAGTTCCTTCAATTTCTTAATTACACTTGATACAAATCCTTTTAGGCTAATATTATGAAGTTAGCAAAGTTGAATACATTAATAGTTAATTCTCAAATTTTTAAATTAATATTTAAGTTATCAAATTATCTTAAATAAATTATATAATGGCAAAATTGTGTTAAAATCAATAAAATATGATTTCTAAAAATTTTAAGTTTTACATAATTTTTTGTTTCTCCGATTAATTTATTTTCTTCTAATTTATGAATTGAATAAGAACAAATACTCTATTTTAACTAAGACATTATAATAATTTATTGTTTATGTCTTATAATAAACAGTTATTTCATAGAAATTTGGATTATCATCTAATATCTCTTTTATCATAAGAAGATTCTTAAATTGGATAGTATCTTTAAAGTTATTAAAACATTATTTCAATATCTCATAGATTATTAGATATCAGAACACATAACTGCCCTTAATAATAGAATAAATTATCTTAATATAGGTAAATTCTCAAATTTCCTCTTATATTGGCTCTGAATGTATACTATTTGATCTTTTTATACTTTGTATATTAATAGTGAAATTCAAAACCCATTTCAAGAGGTAGTTTATTTTATTAGAAAATTTTTTCTTTGGATTTAAACAATTAATTGGAATATTTTGGATATTGATCTTTAAGTATTAAAATATCTATTGCAATTCTTTTTTAAACTTTGAAGTCTTATATATTTGAAATAGATATGTAATTATATTATTCTTTAATTCATAGAATATAATTAGCTTCAATTAAATTAATTTAATTTTTAGTGTTATTATATATAATTAAAAATTTTACAATATATACATTATTGTTAATGATTTAGTTATTGCTCTATTCATAAGAAATTTATTCACCATTTTATTGCAATGTAAAATAATTATATTTTCATTTCATAACTTAAATTGATTATGAATATCCCATTTTCATATGAGGTGGCTTAAATATCTTGTAAACAATGTTGAACTTTCCTATTAAATGAAATAGAAGATGACAAGAATTTATTTATTTATAAAATAATTATATTTTAAGGTAACGATTTGTAGTATTATTATTGAATCACACTTTGATAATAAGAATACTAAAGAGTAATATAAATGACATATATGCATAAAAATTGACTTTGCTAATTCTTATATATTTATTGTTTGTGTTTTGAATTTAAAAATAAATAATTTCTAAAATAATAAAAATATATGATTGACCTTATTGAAATAATGTCTATTGATAATATATTATGTTTCAATAGATTTGTTCATTAAGACCTCAATAAAATTTATTTTATATAAATAAAATAGGAATTTTTATAATTTCATTACGACCATTATTACGCAATTTTCATTTAAGTATGATATATCAATATAAATTGAAGATATTTCATTTATTTAATGTAAGTATATCAAGAATAAACCTTCACAGAATGAAAATAATTGACTTATGATGAGGCATTAACATAAGTTGGTGGGGCAGGGTTATATTAAAAAAGAGCTTTCTTAATATTTGGATTGTAATAGCTAATAATCAGGTTAATTAGAAATATTAAATTTTTAGTTGGATATTGTTTTCACCTGTTTTCTTTTTTATCAAACCAACAATAGATTGTCGGTCTAATGCTGAATGTCTAAATTAGTGTTCTTCTGAATCATTAGATGAGAAATGTTTAGATTATGTTTGTGTAAATGATTTTAATAATTTAGGATGATTCAATACGTAGAGAATTTGTTGTTTAAGAATCATTAAATACAGCTTTCGATGCTTTATTACCTTGTCACAGAACTCTCTAATCAATAATCTAATCTACTGTTTATCTTGGATCTGTCTCAGGATTGATTATTTCCTCATTTATAGCTGATAATTATGGTAGAAAATTGTCATTGTCAATTTCTTGGGCTATGACTTCATTTGGAGCCCTCTTAGTTACAGTATTCTATATGAATAATCTTTAAGTTTGCTATGAATTATTAGATGATAGCTATAGGACTTTTCTTCTTAGGTTTTGGAGGTAATCCAACAATTACTGTACATTATTCATTTATTAATGAACATTCCTGTAATTTAATTATATCAAAGATTTTATATAGAGGGTAATTTTAGAGAGGTCTAAAATGTTGGTGTCTAAGTGTTTTTTGCAATTGGTGAATTTGCTATTATAGCATTAGCATATTTTATTACTTATTGGAGATGGTTAGCAGTTTCAGTTGCAATACCATCTATTTTATTAAATATTGGTAACCTTTTGATATTTGAATCTCCTTAATTTTTATATACAAAAAATAAGAAAAAATGTGTAAAGATTCTAAATTAAATTGCAAAATTAAATGGAACTTAATATATAAAAATAGATGATTTGGCAACTAATCCATAAACAAAAGAGAACAATTCCAGGGTATATTCTATTTTGGATTTATTAAAATATAAATCCTTAAGGTATGTATTTTTTGCAGGAGTAATGATGTTTTTTGCAATAAAGGTGACATATTATGGAATTAGTTTTGTAAGTGATTAGTTAGGTCTCAATTTCTTCACTACTAATTTCATTATTGCTTTCTTTGAACTCTTAGCTTTTGCTACTTTAGGTAATATATCTACATATTTTTAGATTTTTTTATTACAAAATTGAAAAGAAAAACAAACATTATAAGTGGGTTCTTTATTGTAGGATTTATGAGCTTATATTTCCTTTTCTAAAGTGATCACATAGTATTTCGAATCTTCGAAGGCATTTTGGCAGGAGTATATTTATTATATAATTGTAATAGTTAATGAGATTTCTAATATGTGCAGTTTGGGCTTTGGGTTATATTTATGTGTCTGAACTATTTCCTTCTGTTGTTAGATCTTTAGCCTTATGTTTAATATCAGCAGGCGGATCTTTTGGCAGTATAGCTTAAGCATTTTTAAGTAATTTATGCTCATCTCTTAATGTTCATCCTATGGTTGCTTTTGGGATCATTTGTGTTTTATGTGCTTTACTATTGTTTCCATTAAGAGAAACTTTACATTAGCCTTTGAGAGAAAAAATCGAAGAAGACTAAACTCGTATTAGATCAAGTATGCTTCATATAAACGATTCAGAACAAATTACATCACCCTTACATGATACATGATTATATTTTAATTTATATTATTTGTAAGAATAAAAATATTTCATTTTTAGGATCCATTAGATTTAAATAAGATTAAGACTCTATTAAATCTAATAAGGGGGAGGAGGGAGGGTTTATTTTAGGTGATAATTTTAAATAAAATTAAAATGATTATAGCAAATAGGATTAGAAAAGAAATTATTTCATGACATCGTTACTTAAATTATGATATTAAAGCTAAGCTTAATCATTAAAAGACATATTCAATTTATGAGCAAGTATTGGTAGACCAGATTCTAATTTTACTTTGCCTTTATATACTACTATATAATAGAATTCAAGATCCAAAATTGATCCTTACAAAAAATATTTAAATTCTTAATTCAACTTCACAAATTAATGAATAATCACTTGTTTTAAGTTATGATTAGAATAATAAACGAAAAATAATAAGACTATTATTTTATTAGTGTTATTAATCTAAATCATAATCACTAATTATTTATGAACTAATTCATACCTATAAAGTGTTTAAAGATCATATTTATTTGTCTTTAATTAATTTTAATTATTTATAAAAAATTATGAACCTATTTTTATTAGGAAAAAAGGTACTATAAGTTAAGTTATAAGGAAAGTTATTTACAAGGAATAAATTAGAATCTTTTATTAAAATCGAGATGTAAACCTATTTAGAAATTAAAGATTCATGTTTATAAATAGTTTTTAGTATTGATAGTTTCGATGATATTCACTAAAATATTCTGTTTATTGATTTCTAAAAATGTAAAAGAATTACTATTTGATATGAATAATTTAATTCCTTTGGATTAAAGAAAGAATAATCTTTGAATGCATCTATTTATTTTGCTAACTCTAAGCATCTTTNTTCTCATTTATTGCTGATAATTATGGTAGAAAATTGTCATTGTCAATTTCTTGGGCTATGACTTCATTTGGAGCCCTCTTAGTTACAGTATTCTATATGAATAATCTTTAAGTTTGCTATGAATTATTAGATGATAGCTATAGGACTTTTCTTCTTAGGTTTTGGAGGTAATCCAACAATTACTGTACATTATTCATTTATCAATGAACATTCCTGTAATTTATATATATCAAAGATTTTATATAGAGGGTAATTTAGAGAAGTCTAAAATGTTGGTGTCTAAGTGTTTTTTGCAATTGATGAATTTGCTATTATAGCATTAGCATATTTTATTACTTATTGGAGATGGTTAGCAGTTTCAGTTGCAATACCATCTATTTTATTAAATATTGGTAACCTTTTGATATTTGAATCTCCTTAATTTTTATATACAAAAAATAAGAAAAATGTGTATAGATTCTAAATTAAATTGCAAAATTAAATGGAACTTAATAAATAAAAATAGATGATTTGGCAACTAATCCATAAACTAAAGAGAAAAATTCCAGGGTATATTCTATTTTGGATTTATTGAAATATCAATCCTTAAGGTATGTATTTTTTGCAGGAGTAATGATGTTTTTTGCAATAAAGGTGACATATTATGGAATTAGTTTTGTAAGTTATTAGTTAGGTCTTAATTTCTTCACTACTAATTTCATTATTGCTTACTTTGAACTCTTAGCTTTTGCTACTTTAGGTAATATATCTACATATTTTTAGATTTTTTTTTACAAAATTGAAAAGAAAAACAAATATTCTAAGTGGGTTCTTTATTGTAGGATTTATGAGCTTATTTTTCCTTTTCTAAAGTGATCACATAGTATTTCGAATCTTCGAAGGTAATTTGGCAGGAGTATATTTAATATATTATTATAATAGTTAATGAGATTTCTAATATGAGCAGTTTGGGCTTTGGGTTATATTTATGTGACTGAACGATTTCCTTCTGTTGTTAGATCTTTAGCCTTATGTTTAATATCAGCAGGCGGATCTTTTGGCAGTATAGCTTAAGCATTTTTAAGTAATTTATGCTCATCTCTTAATGTTCATTCTATGGTTGCTTTTGGGATCATTAGTGTTTTATGTGCTTTACTATTGTTTCCATTAAGAGAAACTTTACATTAACCTTTGAGAGAAAAAATCGAAGAAGACTAAACTCGTATTAGATCAAGTATGCTTCATATATACGATTAAGAACAAATTTCATCACCCTTACATGATACATGATTATATTTTAATTTATATTATTTGTAATAAGAATAATATCTCATTTTTAGGATTCATTAGATTTAAATAAGATTAAGACTTTATTAAATCTAATAAAGGGGAGGAGAGAGGGTTTATTTTAAGCGATAATTTATGTAAAATTAATATGATTATAGCAAATAGGAATAGAAAAGTATTCATTTCATGAGATCGTTACTTACATTATGATATTAAAGCTAAGCTTAATCATAAAAAGACATATTCAATTTATGGGCAAGTATTGGTAGACCAGATTCTAATTTTACTTTGCCTTTATATACTACTAGATAATAGAATTCAAGATCTAAATTATATCCTTACAAAAAATATTTGAAATTCTTAATTCAACTTCACAAATTTATGAATAATCAGTTGATTTAAGTTATAATTAGAATAATAAACGAAAAATAATAAGACTATTATTTTATTAGTGTTATTAATCTAAATCATAATCACTAATTATTTATGAACTAATTCATACCTATAAAGTGTTTAAAGATCATATTTATTTTTCTTTAGTTAATTTTAATTATTTATAAATAATTATGAACCTATTTTTATTAGGAAAAAGGTACTATAAGGAAAGTTATTTACAAGGAACAAATTAGAATTTTTTATTAAAATCGAGATGTAAACCTATTTAGAAATTAAAGATTCATGTTTATAAATAGTTTTTAGTATTGATAGTTTCGATGATATTCACTAAAATATTCTGTTTATTGATTTCTAAAAATGTAAAAGAATTACTATTTGATATGAATAATTTAATTCCTTTGGATTAAAGAAAGAATAATCTTTGAATGCATCTATTTATTTTGCTAACTCTAAGCATCTTTATATCTGCACTAATTAATTTTTTCAGTTAATAGTGTTTAATTGAAGAACTTTT